GCACACTGTTTTTTAAACGCGTTGCTTGCATAAAACTGACCAGACACATTCAATTTACCAGACTATTGAACAACTAGAAAAAGTGAAAAAAATACTTCTTATCGCCAGCATAAATGCGTAATTATTTTTTTTACAGAAAAAGTAATTTTTCACCTTTGATTAAGTAACGGGTCATAGAATGCAGATACAGGCATGGCAAACACACCTTTGTAAAGCTTGAAGTCTGGCGATTCTAAAAATATATATTTTCCTGGGTCTATTTGTAGTCATTTGGTCACAATTAGAAGATGAAAACAAGTATGCAAATAATAGTCCCGCTACCTTAATTTTTTTTTACTGGTACTAGGGAAATCATGGAAATGCATCATGCATGTTTGTAAAAGCGCAGGATAATTTCCCATTGCGGTCTGGCAATGTTGTTGGACACTCAGCTAGAAAACCTTTCTTAGTTGCATCCAAGCATTAATTAAAACAGTGCCAGATTCACAGGGTGGTCTTGGGTGGCAATGATGTGTCATCCGACAGGTGTAACTGTAAGTGACAGAACTAGTGGAAACCACGGTTTCACTGGCTAGTTCAAAATCAGTATGACACTATTGAGTGTAACCATTATTTCTGCAACACTGCCTGAACAAGAAGTGGTTTTTGGCTGAGATGAAAAGATTTATCATCTCTCCATTGTCTCTCCATGCTCTCAGAAAGTTACTTGGAGGTTAGAACACTTTTGAATGCCATGTAACAAGCATGTTACTCAATTTCCTTCTTGCTGCCACATATCCACCAGCTGGACTCAGTACTGCAGACCATCCCCAATGGTTTGCGATGCATGCCTATAGTAACCAATATTTATATTACATATTATTAACAATTTTCCATGTGATTTATCAGTCAACCAGTAGAACACAAATATATTCAGCATACTAACTGAATATATAGCTAATATGCTAGGATAATTTTTTTTAATTCATAAAATATTCATTAAAGTGATAATTAATTTAGTAAATTACAGTTTATTGCTTGTGTTAACTGAATGTCTCAGATATGTTAAGTGTTCGAAATTATCATTTATACAATACAGAATATTTCCGGCTACTGTGTATAGTTTACATAATGTGATAAAATTACTTGTGTCTTTTATTGTGTTGGTTGTAGATTTTCTTTACCTCTAATTTGATTGTCTAGTGTTGCCAAGTTTCAATGAGTGTAATCTGAGTCACACAAGGGTCCAATATCAGCCAATGTGAAAATATAGAATAAAATTTCTAGAAATGTGTATTGTCTGTGATCATTGAAAACAAGATCATTATAATCGCATATGATAATACAGCAAAAAGAAATTAAACTTACAAACCCAATGCTAGTATCAAGATTTTAAAGTGATCAAAATAGATAAGGTTAAAAAGCATTACATTAGTGACATTACAAATAAATCAATTCAAGATCCAACTGACCATTTGAATTGCAATATTTTGTCATAAAATGAAGGCAACTGAAGTAATGGTCTCAGGAGCAGTGACCATGCTGAAAGAAGGGAGAGTTCTAACTTTGTGTAAACATACAATGCGTTTTAAACTGGTTATACCAATTACACAAGATTCATATAAAAAATGACACTGAGTAATGACAACATAATAAATGTTAGAAAATATTTGTACCGAATATTAAATATAGTTTAAATATAATCTCTTAATTGATCCACTTTACTATCTTTTCTTTGAGTGAGAACACAAACAATGGAGCTGGCAAGTTGCTGTCTTTGTCATATATGGTACATTGTTTGTAAACACATGGACAGTCCCTCCATGCATAACGTATAGCTTGCAATTTAGCACCACTACAGTGCTTTGTAGAGATTTGAACTCCGTTGGTACCAATGATGGACGTGATAGGGGCAGCTAACCAATCAGTTGATAAGTATGTACAATTATTTGTAGATGAACAGCACACCTAGAGAAAAAACACATTAACGCAAACTACTTATGTGTATAGAAATGTATTCAAAGTTAAGAAGTATTATTTGTTTTCCAAATGTATGTATAGTCATCTGTACGTAATTTATATGAATATTGATCACTGTTGATCGCCTTCTGCCATATTTCAACGAGTGTACATACCGGTATATACATTTAATTGTAATCACCAATTAAAATTAACCACCGGAAACAACATTATTTATATTATTTTTTAAGTTATGTCAAGCCACTTTTAGAGGTCAATGCAATGAAGGAGATTGCACTTACTTCAAACCCTGAATCGTGGTTCACTTGGATATGTTTACTGTCATATGTAACAATTGCAACATCATCTAGTGAACGTATTGTTATACCATTCGGGAAAGGCCCGGAATAATTGACATATTTTTCATTGTATGCTATTGCTTTTCCAGCCAATGCTAAACGATATCCGACATCTTGTTTGTATCTTGAGTGTACACTGCAAAGAAAATAGAATGAAGTTTTTGAATGTACACTTGTTGTATAATTTAAATATGTTAAAAAATGTGCAATTCCAAATGATAAAGTCCTCAAATTCGCTAATTATATAAATCTATAAGATATTCTTTAAATACATTTAAATAATTAAAATATAATTTAAGTGTATATTACATTCAACATGATGTGTGATGAATTCAATTAATCACATTATCCCCATGAATCTATGAACTAAGTTTCATAGACATGGGATATTAGTTTTTGAGATATCGATGGAAACGCTGAAAAATTATTATTATGTGTAAACTAGAGTACCGGTAAGTAATATACACTGATTTTAGCCAAAACCTAATCAGTTCTGAACATTGGCTGATCATTATACTATAGTATTCACTATAGTATATGCATTGATTTCAATCCACAACTAATCAGGTCTGCTGTTGGAGTTTCTTCATGTCACTAAAATTATTTTGAGTCTATAGGACTTCTAATGAATGCAAGCCTAACTCAGGTTGAATCTTGACAATAAATTTATCACACCTGCTGGTATTAGCTTTCTTGTCATGGCATGGTTCAAATACCATACTTTGTTATTTGTGTATGTTTTACTTTAATGCAACATCAATTCATCAAGACAGATATTTAATCCCTTATGGAAAAGAAATTCTGCGACTATATAGTAAACCACTATCTATATTGGCACATATGCTATAGCCTAAAAGGTAAGCCACAATCCTTTGGCTCACATAAACTTAGGTGAACCAACAGTGACTGCTTTCTGATTCAATGTTGGATTTTACTTCAAACTAGTCCATGAACCAAAAAATCTGGTTTGATAACTATCAAGAGTGTTGTTAAAAAATATGAATAAATAGGCTTACACTGGGATCACTTATTAAATGACACACTCAAATATCAAGTACAAATGGCTTGATTTAGTTGCACAGCACTGTCTAGTTTTTCTCTGTGATTCATACAATCATACAAATTATGCTGGTATGTGATTTACGTCAATGCTAAATATGTAAATAATGATTTTTTTCTCTCTCTTGTGCATGGATATTAAGACACAAACATGTTCAGCCTTTTAAAGCAGGGAGGGTCTTTAGAAGGCGCACATGCACTATATAACCTTAATTGTCCTTAATTGCACATTCATATATCAATAGCTACCTTTTTATATAATGTGTGTAAATCAAATTTCTTGACTGAGTCTAGAGATAAATAAACTGTGAAACCAGACGAAATTATGTAGAAGAGACAAGCAGTGTTACTTCAGTTGTCAGATGTGTCAGAAAAATGCTGTCTTGATTGAGTTTATTGTATTATTTTTTTATTATTTTTTTTTATTATAGTTTGTTGTATTATTGTCTTAGATTAAGTGGCAGATCCCAATAGAAAATTGATGACATTATCTTTAATTTGATATCTTATTATGGCACTGTTAGTTGTTGCAGAAATTGTATCATCTGCAACAATTTTAATGAATGTCCTCAGAGTTCATGTCATTTACATTGATAAATGATTAGCATCTTGATTGGAAACTATATTACATATATTTCTATATATATAGTTAACAAAGTTTACAAGTTCGAAAACACATAACATATGTATGACAAAAATAATCAACAAAACAGAACAACTGACAAGTATGCTACACTGAATAACAAGTGAAGATATATATGCTATGCTGAGATGTCCTATTTATATTTTGGGAGATCCATTATTTCAGCTGCATAGTTTGCATATTGTTGCAGTCCCTAGCACACAGCATATTTTGATAATGTAGATAAATAACCATATAAAAAACCGCAAAGAACGTTGAAGAGAATAGTCATCCAAAAAATCAGAAACACCTAAACATTCAGTTCATGAAAGTGAAATAAACAGCAATCCATGAAGCTGAAAACAGGATGAAGGATGATAAACAAGCCATGCATGGCATAGTCCCTGTTAGTTATAAAATGTAAGATATACAGTTTTGTTTATAGTAATATATATGTAGTTGAAACATAAACATATCAGCTCCTTGCCCAATTTTGTAGTTTATTTAATTGTATTATATTGAATCTGTAATTTCATTAGTTTTGTAGTAGTTGTTTGCGTCTGTAAGAGGTTTTTCAAATAAATTTGTTTCTGCCATTCACCTGATTTCTGCATGGATTGATTTTACAAATATTAAAATGATTGACATTCAGTCAACTTGTATCTAATCATCAAACGAGTACTTGTCCATATTGAGAGATAATTAAAATAATAATTAAAGCAATAATTAAAAACAAAATGGCCACTGGTCGGCCATTTTGAATACATCTGTATATTTATGACATTATGTATAATAAATACACAAAATTTTAACATAATCAGTCAAAGCATGCCAGAGATATAGCATTCATTAAAACAAAGTGGTTGCCAGTTGACCAGATCTGAAAAAACAAAAAGACATGGATGAATGTCCCATATAATGTCCAATGAATATATCAAGTTTAAACAAGATCCATCTGCAAACAGCCAAGATCGGGTTCCAGAATGACAGAAATGTTTGTTTTTTGATGCTTTTTCAGCACAAAAATGGCTTCCATTCAGTCATCTTGAATTAGATCGTGAAACAAATTGATGTACATATGTATTATGTTTGTGTGAAGTTTGAATGTAATCAATCCAGGCATGTCTAAGATATAGGTATATATGTATATACATGAACAGACACACAGAGGTCAATCCATAAGTCCCCGTTTTTGGACTGCGTCTAAATGGGGACAAACAAACTTCTGGAATTAATATGGTATAAGATATGGAATAGGACGGAATGTGATCTATACTATGTGAACAATTAGAAAATTAAAGTACACATTACTAACATTCCCCATGGTGATTTAGGATCTCCTAGATCCATGGCAACTGCCATGAAGACATTTGGCATTTTCTCATTAGGTACATAACCATAGTCAGCAGTCTGATGCCAACGAAGTGCAGGATAGCCATCAACCAATGTAGAATCAGTGCTATCAGTACCAAGCTGAAAAAAATAAAACACTTTGACGTTTGACAAAAATAAATATAAACAAGATATGCAACACTGTAAAAAACTGTAACATTTTGAACAATTGACAAAGATACTCATTAATTGTAATGGATTTATCAAAGATACATTATTTTACTTATACAATCGACTAAATTAGTGGTGTATGTGTAAAATTTATAATCAATATTACTTGTTCAGTCATATATGGTAAACTGTATACCTGTACAAATCCAAATGGGAAGAGTTTATCAGTAGTACCACCAGTACCAATGTAAAACTTGTTTCTCCAGTCAGCTATCATTGCAGGAAAGGTACATGAATAGGAATCCTGTATTATACCGGGAAACGTATTGGCTTCACCTGTGAATGTATTATTACTGAGTTATAGTAAGTTAAGTTACCGTAACGGATAACTCAGTCAAAATATTGGGTATTAGTAAGGTAAGATACAGTAATTGATGAATCAGTGACATTACTAGGTATTAGTCTGCTAAGATACAGTATCGCAAAAACTCGATTAATTCGCGGTCTCTATTAGTTCGCGCACCCATTACTAGGTATTAGTCTGCTAAGATACTGTAATTGGTGAATCAGTGACTAGGTATTAGTCTGCTAAGATACAGTAATTGATAAATCAGTGACGTTACTGGGTATTAGTCTGCTGAGATACTGTAATTGGTGAATCAGTGACATTACTAGGTATTAGTCTGCTAAGATACAGTAATTGGGGAATCAGTGACATTACAAGGTATTAGTCTGCTAAGATACAGTAATTGATGAATCAGTGACATTACTAGGTATTAGTCTGCTAAGATACAGTATCGTAAAAACTCGATTAATTCGCGGTCTCTATTAGTTCGTGCACCCATTACTAGGTATTAGTCTGCTAAGATACTGTAATTGGTGAATCAGTGACTAGGTATTAGTCTGCTAAGATACAGTAATTGATAAATCAGTGACGTTACTGGGTATTAGTCTGCTGAGATACTGTAATTGGTGAATCAGTGACATTACTAGGTATTAGTCTGCTAAGATACAGTAATTGGGGAATCAGTGACATTACTAGGTATTAGTCTGCTAAGATACAGTAATTAATGAAACAGTGACATTACTAGGTATTAGTCTGCTAAGATACAGGAATTGATAAATCAGTGATATTCCTAGGTATTAGTCTGCTAAGATACAGTAATTAATGAATCAGTGACATTACTAGGTATTAGTCTGCTAAGATACAGTAATTGATAAATCAGTGATATTACTAGGTATTAGTCTGCTAAGATACAGTAATTAATGAATCAGTGACATTACTAGGTATTAGTCTGCTAAGATACAGTAATTAATGAATCAGTGACATTACTAGGTATTAGTCTGCTAAGATACAGTAATTGGTGAATCAGTGACATTACTAGGTATTAGTCTGCTAAGATACAGTAATTGGTGAATCAGTGACATTACTAGGTATTATTCTGCTAAGATACAGTAATTGATGAATCGGTGACATTACTGGATATTAGTCTGCTAAGATACAATAATTGATAAATCAGTGACATTACTAGGTATTAGTCTGCTAAGATACAGTAATTAATGAATCAGTGACATTATTAGTCTGCTAAGATACAGTAATTGGTGAATCAGTGACATTACTAGGTATTAGTCTGCTGAGATACAGTAATTGATGAATCAGTGACATTATTAGTCTGCTAAGATACAGTAATTGATGAATCAGTGATATTACTAGGTATTAGTCTGCTAAGATACAGTAATTGATAAATCAGTGACATTACTAGGTATTAGTCTGCTAAGATACAGTAATTGATAAATCAGTGACATTACTAGGTATTAGTCTGCTAAGATACAGTAATTGATGAATCGGTGACATTACTGGATATTAGTCTGCTAAGATACAGTAATTGGTGAATCAGTGACAATACTAGGTATTAGTCTGCTAAGATACAGTAATTGATAAATCAGTAATATTACTAGGTATTAGTCTGCTAAGATACAGTAATTGGGGAATCAGT